GAGGAAGTGGACTGGGAGAGTTGAAACATCATGAGATGGTGTGCCTGCGTGAAGAAGTAAGACCCATCTCCTTAGGAGCGAACCTGAAACAATGTGAACCTAAGGAATGGTGTGAAGTGATCGGTGCGGATCCGCCTCTTTACCCCGCACTACAAGGCCCGAGGCCAAGAGTCGGAACTGTCCAAGGTTTATATACCCACAGCTCAATCTTCTCAGCACCATTCCTCTCACAACAAGGGCACTTCAAAGCTGTGTCCCAACATTTATATATATATATATAGTATATAACATAACAAACTACACATGCCGCCCCGAACGCAAAGCTTCTTCCCCCCCAAGCCTCGCGCACTTCTTGTAAGGACCTCCCACTGGCGGCTGGGTAGCAGCTTAAGGCCTTGAAAATGCCAAGTCCAAGCGAATTATGCTTCGAATGTTGAGGCGTTCGGTGTTCGTCAACAAACAAAGTGTTCGAGCAGTTGGAAAAATGACAAGTTGATTGAAGTGGGGTGGCCAGGTAGTTTCACAAAATCTCTGCTATCTGCTGCTATCTCAATCGGAAGTTGGAACGAAGTAGCTAAGTAGCTAAGTAGCATGCAGAAAGCAATGGTACCAAAACATCAGGAGCGAAGCGCGCAACCCCACGAAGCGTTTCTGTCGCTCTGCAATGCTTGCGACACTTGGAAACTCTGCAACTTGCCTACGACCTCTGTCTTCTGCTCAATGGTGCCGCCCAGGCCTGTCCAGTGAAGTCAAATCAAAAGCGTACTCCACAGGAAGGAATGAAAGCATCTTCGCAATGATCTCCATGTCCCACTCTGTCCATACCCTTTGGAGAGCATGGCATGCGCAGGATGCTAACCTTTGGGCCTGTCGTATCCCCCACCTTTGGCTCGATCCGCAAAGGCATTGGTCACACTGCTGGGATCAATGTGGCCGTCGCCCTCAGTGAAGATTCCGCCATAGATGCCCGTGTCTTCCAAGTTCACTAGCGGATGCTTCTCCTGAAGGGAAACCTCTCAGCATCTCTCATCTCAAGTCTGTTTGTTTGAACGGATGGCCTAAAGAAAGCCCAAGAACCCAAAAAAACACCGTCTTGGGTGAACGTTTCGTCAACTGATGTTTTAATTCAGGAGGTCATGGAGGAACTCTGCAACGATGAATGGTTGGAAAACCGGGAGACCTATCTGAAAGCTCTTTAAGTTCCCTCAAGCACTCAAGCACATGGAATCAAGTAAGGTGAACATTGGCAAAATGGCATGGACTGGATTGTCTTGTGGGTGTGGCGCCAAAGTGATCCACCGTGGGCAGCTTGCACGATACTTCTTGTGGACCGGTGGACCGGGCCAGCTTAAAGCAACGTCGGGTGACGAAGCTGATAGTCTCCAAGCGGTGGAGCGGCGACAGTGAAAGGTTTTGTTCCAAATTAGGTGGCTGCGGAGGAAGGACCTTAGTAGCAAATTGGACGGGCTGCGTGGCAGAATGAGGGATCAGACATTTGTCCACTTGGTCTGCTTGGCTGAAAAATCAGCAAAAAATGCTGCTCGGCCTTTGCCACTGTTCTCGCTGCGGTGATGTGGGCCCAACGCAGCCCACCGCCGGCGGTGCCACGCCCACCGCGGACCGGCCCGGTTCGGAGCCCCGTTGCGGGCTGACTTCTTGGGATCGCTCGTGTCTTTCAATGGGGAAGTGACTTTGTTAGGTGTTGAGCCAAAAAAACACAGAAAGAGGCTCGAGTTGCAAATTCAATTGAACAATGTCGGTCATGCGCTGGGTGAAATGTCTTGAACAAGACGATGGGCACTCCTTGATCTCATCCACAGAGATCATATGATGCTGCTCACATTCAAAAAGCCCCGAAAAGATCTTGGCTTTGCTCACCTGGTATTTCGCCTCAAGAATATACCACAAGTGTCAGAAACGGTTTCTTCAGTATCATGGTGTTCTTCAGGAAGAGCCGAGTCTGAGGCTTCATCTATGTAGTCCCGCCTCAGGACATACTGGACTCCAAAGCTTCCAGACTCTCCAGTCTCTCAGAAGCTTCCTTCAGTTCAGGTCTTGAGTCTCGGGCTGATTGGGGATCAGCCGGATGGAACCCGGTGTGTGGAAGCTCAACGGTGTGCCTGCGGCCAATCACCCTTCTGGGCCAGTCTGAATCGAAAAAAGGATGGCGAGCATTGACAATACATGCAAACCACGCCCGATTTGTTCCAGGAAGACCCTTACTTGAGCATATTTTATCGTTCTCCACCCTCCTGCCTTCTGCCTGCCACTGGGAGAAGAGGTTGACGCCCTGGTGGGAAGGCGTGTTCCCTTACTGTTACAAAACAAAAAAATCCAAGTGATGCATGCGAGATAACCTCAAGTTATCAAGTCAATCATATCACCCAAGAAGCTAAGAAACATCAAATTGAACCTATATATATATATACGTTCCTTTCTTCTTCACATCCCGAAATTCTCCGCATCCACGGGCCTCGTCATGCCAAAGCCGGAAGTTGTTACCACCGTGAAAGCGTGTTACAAGTCCAGCCGCGTGCCAAGTGGCACCGCACGTTAGCTCCCCCTGAAGGAGTGCAGCGAGGCCAAAGCGACATCAAAACGAACAATGTTAGCAATGCGATGCTCCAAACATAAAATAATATCAGAAAGCACCCTCCAGCTCAGCCGACCTTCTCAAAGAGCACACATTTCACCCCTCGCTTTGCGAGGTTGTAGAGCATGGCACAGCCCGTCACGCCGCCGCCCACAATGACGCCTCTGTATATTGGAAGAGAAGAAACCAGAAAAGCCTCCGATCACAAAAATAGGGAATCTCATCTTGGCAATGTTCGGAATCCCCAGTTCTCGTCTTGTGTCGGCAGCTCAGATGCAAACAGCCCACAGGTGGCACCTGAATAGCCACGGGTGGCACCTTGCTGCCAGAGCCGAGCTGCTTGACCCGAAGCTCCTCCTGAGACTGCTGCACAAGCAAGGAATGGACTTACTCTCTTGAGTCTTTACCAAACTTTCTTTACACCACAAATCACATTCACGTACAGTATTGTAGGCCTACAACGGTCCATTCTTGGTGGCTTGCTTTCTTGCAAACTTACCAAAGCAGGCCACTTGGATGAAATGGCTTTTGGGCAAGGTGCTTGCAGACCGCCACATGCTCGGAAGGACAAAGGCCGGCAATTCAGCAATATCTATAAAGAGTCTACTGAGGCATTTGCCTTTCGAGCCAAGAGACACAGGAAGCAGATTTCACAGAGACACAATGAACTTGGGCTCAAGGGTCAGAGGTTGTGTGCTTTATATGGATGTGCATCTACGAAAAGCACCCGAGAAAGTGCGCTGTCCGAGGCTTCCAGTTGTGCCCCAGTTTTCCTCTTCCATCCCGCACGAGATGTTGTTCACCTCATGACGCCGGCAAGTGTGCGGAACTCCATTTCAGTGCAGGCCGACGGAATGAATCAAGCGCATGGTAAGCCCTTCACTGGTGACACTTTGTTTGGGACCATGGTTGGATTGTATAAGTATCATCTCCAAGTTAGCATCATAGGTACTGACCGCTTCACCAAACCACCACCGAAGAGGAATCCGAAAGATCGACTTCGGCCGATTCGCCAAACCTTCCCTCGGTTCATGTCAACTAAAGGGTACCCCTTTGGCATCCGTGAACTTTTTTCGGCACGACCGACGGAGACGTAGACGAGAAACACCACGAGAAACGGGTCCCCCCACCTCACTGGGAAAGAGATGTCGAGATGCCTCTCACATTTCAGCGCAACGTACATGAGCTTGGCTCTTCAAATTGACGTGGATTTGTCCGGGGAAATAAGGAGATAACCGGAATGATGATCCTATTCTACATATCCAGGAAGCAAACCCGAAACACTCATCATACACCACCATTGCTTTCAGAGCCTTGCGAGTCTGAGAAACAACAACAACAACTACTACTACTACTACTATTACTACTACTACTACTGCTGCTACTACTACTACTACTACTACGACGTACAGACCAACAACAACAACAACCACAACAACAACCACAACAACCACAACCACAACAACAACCACAACCACGACCACAACCACAATGACAACAACAACAACAACAAGAAGCGACATGTGTCAACCCATCCATATCTCAGTGCAAGCACTAAAACCAGCTAAGAATATCAAAGAACTGGAACACCAAGGATCACCAAGGCAGAGCAAGGTAGACCTTAAACTGACACGAGACTGCGTCGACGAGACCTTCTCACTCAAAACTGCCTCATGTTTTTCCCCAGATAGCGAAGCTATGTTCTTACTTCAAATAATAATGAATTGCCCGTGCGCGCTTTCAGAGACAGGTTGCTGGTGCTGGGTGCCGGTGCTGGTGCTGTGAGCTGGATAGTGCTGGTGCGGGCGCTGGTGCTGGTGCTGTGAGCTGGCTGTGCACGTGGTGGAGACAGGTTGCTGGTGCTGGTGCTGGTGCCGGGCGCCGGTGCTGGTGCTGGGTGCCGGGTGCCGGTGCTGGTGCTGGGCACGTGGTGGAGACAGGTTGCTGGTGCTGGTGCTGGGTGCCGGGCGCCGGTGCTGGTGCTGTGAGCTGGCTGTGCACATGGCGGAGACAGGTTGCTGGTTCTGGTGCCGGGCAGCGGTGCTGTTGCTGGGTGCCGGGTGCCGGCGCTGGTGCTGCGAGCTGGCGGTGCACGTGGTGGAGACAGGTTGCTGGTGCTGGTGGTGGGTGTCGGGCGCCGGTAGCTGTGCACATGGTGGAGACAGGTTGCTGGCGCTGGCGGCGGTGCTGGGTGCCGGGCGCTGGCGCTGGTGCTGGTGCTGGTGCTGTGAGCTGGCTGTGCACTTGGTGGAGACAGGCGCTGGTGCTGGTGCCGGGCGGCGGTGCTGGTGCTGAGCTGGCGCTGGGTGCCGGGCCCCGGTGCTGGTGCTGGCGCTGGCTGGCTGTGCACGACAGGTTGCTGGTGCTGGTGTCGGGTGCCGGTGCTGGCGCTGGGTGCCGGGCGCCGGTGCTGGTGCTGGTGCTGTGAGCTGGCTGTGCACGTGGAGACGGGTTGCTGGCGCTCGCGCTGGTGCCGGGCGCCGGCGCTGGTGCTGGTGCTGGTGCGGGGCGCCGGTGCTGGTGCTGGTGGTGTAGCTTGCATATATGTGGCGATCTTTTTTGTCCAGATAGCGAAGCTATGGGGTTCTTACTTCAAATAATAATGAGCTACCTGCGCGCGCTTTCGAGACAGGTTGCCGGTGCTGGTGCTCGGTGAAAACAGGGCGCCAGCGCTGGGTGCCGGCGCCAGGTGCTGGTGCGGGCTGTGGTGCTGGTGCTGGGTGCTGTGAGCTGGCTGCACGCGTGGTGGAGACACGGTGCCGGTGCTGGGCGCTGGCAGTGCGCATGGTAGAGACAGCGGGCGCCGGCGCCGGCGCTGTGAGCTGGCAGTGTGCGGGGATACTCCTTGGCCTTGGGCGAGTGAAGCCTACGGGCTTTGCCGATTGCGCGCATACTTTTGTGCGCATAAACTTATACGCGCAAGATCATACGGCCTTATCTTTCTGCAGATCGTTGCTTCAAGCACGCTAGAAAGTCAATAGTGGCGCTGGATACTGCTTGGCCTTGGGCCAATGACACTTACAGGCTTTGCTGTTTGCGCGCGTAAACTTACACGCGCAAGATCATACGTTGTTATTCCCCAAGTAGGGATAGCTATGGGGTTCGTGCTGCAAATAAGAATGAGCTGGCCACGCGCGCTTTCGAAAGGGTGTCGGTGGTGCTGGTGTTGTGGGCCTGGGTGCTGGTGCTGTGAGCTGGCTGAGAGCGCGTTTAAGACGGGCGGCGGCGCTGGTCGGGCGCTGGTGTCAGCTGATTGTGCCAGGTGTCGTAAGCTGGCTGCACAGGCTGCGTACATTCTTGTTCCAGCCAGTCGCATGTCAACAGGTCGTGGGATTCTGCCTCGCTATCTGGGTCTATGCTGGTGTATATTTCTGGGTATAATATGTATGTAAATACAACCAGGACAAAAAAAGTTGCTAACAAGCTTGTGAGTACGTAACCTACAACCCTTTCCCCGTAGAATCCTGCCGGGGATCACAGTGGAATGCCGGCGGATTAGTTTCCACCCCGAAGTAAGTAAATCATAATTTAGTTTGGGGTGGAAACTAACCCGGCGGAATTCCATTTGGGAAAGAGAAGTGATGTCGATGACATTCTGGAGTGAAGTTGTTACCAAACTTTCTTCCTCCTGAAGTATCATTGGTGATTGACACACAATGTCCAAAAGTTGAAAAGAGTTGAAAGAATTAGACCGGACCACTTTTCCATATTCAAGCAGACAGTACTTACACATGCTAAGCGTTTGCACCAGGCTTTTGTCTCGGCTGCGCCGACTGTGGCTGCGCCTGGCGGATCCTTTGCCAATCCTCGAACTGCTCCACACGGCGCCGCAGCTGCAGCAGCTCCGCCAGGCGAAGCTCCTCTTCGGACGGGGACCTGGGTCGGCGATCGGGTTCAGCAAACATGGACCGATGCATCGACCTGCATCGACCTGCATGGATAGTTACATCGACACCTTTGCGATGCGCTTTGCTCCGTTCGTAACATCCTTGCTCCTAGTAGTAAGGCCAGGAGCCCCTAGTAGCTAGCGTCCTCGTTCCTATGCATGAGTGTCATTTTTGGAAATTGGCTTGGCGTTGCATACAAGTTGTGGAGCCCTTCACAACGAGAGATTGATTGGAAGCGATATTGAAAAAAGGCTGGAAAATAGGTCTAGGGAGCCCATACGCTTCCATGGTCAGCTGCATCTTGTCTGGGCTTGCAATACCCAGGTGCTCGCAAAGCTTGGAGACCTGCCAGGCCCCAAATGCAAAAAGAACGGAAGCTCTGGCAGTGGCATATGCTTGAGTTCTTAAACTTTGTTCTCGGTGCTGAGCCCTTTCATTTCCCATATTCCTTGTCTGGCCTCAGCCTCTATTTCCTGGAGCTTGGTCTCCCGGTCAAAGCTGGCAGGTTTCGACGGAAAGAGGCGTTCAAACAGCATTGTCCATCTTCCTTTCTCAAGTGTGCACTGACTCAACAGCAAAATGCAACAATTTTAACAGAGCTCGAAGAGCTGCCGAAAAACTGGCAACTAAAACCTCACCCAACTAACCCACAAAAGTTTCCTTCTCTCATCTTTTCTCTTTCATCCTCTGCATCTCTACTTCTGCCAGTCTGACAGTCTGAGCTCCACACACAAATCTCTGTAGCTTCTCGCGAGTGTGCTGGCGTTCGTTCCTTTGCGCTAACTCCAAGGTCGCCAGCATAGCATCATGGCCCTCGGCCGCGAGGCCGAAGAGCACTGCACGTCCAGGCCTCATACTCATACTTCATGTGCTTGGTCAAGCCAAAAACAGGTCAAAACACTCTGGAAACATCAACACCCTGGTGTGCTCTTGAGCTCTACAGCCCTTTACAGCTTACAACTTTGCTGTTCTCACGACGCCTATTCTGCTTCGCATGTCGGGCCACCCACCAAAGCAGGGCCGCAGCAGCCGCGTGACTTTGGAGTCCCGATAGGGAATGTAACGTGGGGCTGTGTGACCATCTCCTCGGATCTTTCAAATGTGCACAGTTCATAAGAGTTTCACGAGTTCTTCTGGGTGAAAGGGACCAATGCAGGAGGCTTGTTTGTGGAGTGAACTCTGTCCATGTTGTTCACCCTCTTGTGTACAATACGCGGCAAAATCATAATACCCATGGACATGGGGTTGCTACAGTAAACAGTGTCTATGCGCAGTGACTCTTTTGTGGTTGAGCAGCAAATGCCAGAAGACTGCAGGCCAATAGCAGACATACTCAATAGCAGGCCACTCTGTGAATGGAAACACAGACTGAGAAAGCCAAAGCCAAATTTCGCTGAGGCTCTGAAACGATATTCTGGGTCCTCTGCCAAAGCATCTACAACCCTGAGGACAGCTTTGAGTGTCTTGTCCTCCTGCGCAAAGGCGGGTATAGGGATCCAAAATTTGGGTTGCCCGGTCCCCCACAAAATATGCTTTGGGACCTTAGAATCCGCGGTGCCCTTGATCCTATTTTTGAGCAGCCAAGGAAACGCATCTTGTTGGCTGGGCGCACGTGTCATCTCTTCCGTCCTTCCGATATGATCTTCAGATTTGATCTTCAAAAACTGTGTGCAACGGGCGGGCCTGGTGGGGCGTGTTCTTGTTGACCTTCACCCCGGACATTTCTGCACCAACCAAATCCAGCAAGTGAATGGTGGTGGCAAGCACCTGACAAACAGATTGTCTGTGCAATCCTGCATGACTGCATGGCTTTCGAGAAACCAAGTTTGTGCGCGCTAGCTGGCGCTAACTCATGACTTGTTCTTGTTTTGGCCAGTACTCAAATGTAAACTCTTTGCATGGGCCAAGCACTGTATTGCTAGGATGCTCAGTCAAGGTGCAGCAGTTCCAATACGTCGTCGAACACGAAACCTCAGTAGCACGAGTCCCTTCGCACGGAGCAACTTTGCAAAATGGGCTTAAGACACACAAGCAAGAAGACCAGTTGCACACTGTTGCACCTAAGAAAGTCAATCCGTCAATTTAATCAATTTGTCATGCAAGAAGTCCAAAGCGTCCACTGATGTTCCAACTGGTCTGTGTATGTTGCACCTTCTCTAGGGTCAAACATGATGCTTGCATCTTACCTAGCCTAGCCTATTCAAGCTTGCCCATGCACTCATCTCCTTTCACATTCTGCACTTGAGTCTTTCACAATGTTTGCAAATGAGCATGCTACAAAGCCTTTAACCGCAAAGCGCTCACCCGTAGTGGGGCTCCACAAGTGTGCTGTCAGAGCGAGGAAGCTGAGAACACCAACTTGACTCAGTATGACGATCATGAATCATTAGGAACCCAAGAAAACATGAAGCTTGCATCAACTTGACGTGGACACGATAAACATGAACCTGACCAAAATGAAGCCCGTAACAATTTCCAACCTCTTCTTTGGCCCAAAAGCGTGCAAAGCCCATGGGCCAACGCATCTTCCACACAGCGCCGGCCACTGCGGAACGTGCCCGGCGATTGCAATGCGGTCACACCCCGCTCCAGTGCGCTGAGAAGCTCCTGTGGATGCCTGCGCTGATTGAAACGCAGCCATGAAATCGCTGCGACTCGCCCTGCGACAGCCTGGATTTGGTCTGAACTATGCCGCAATACTTGGAATGAACTTGGAGACAAGTACACCGTACAATTCGGCCGATTGGAGAGAAATTACAGCGAAGACTCCCTCAGACTTTCGACGAGACAATCAAAAATCCCCAATACAGGATTTTATATAATTGCATTCCTGTGCGGCCAGAATCCTTCTTTGAAGGGACCACAATGTCAATGACAAGGAGCTCGCCAGGAAACGTTGGAGCTATACATTCATCAAGGTAGTGGCTTTTCCAGTAAAGACCTTGTTCCATGGCATGTCAGAAAGAAGTTCTGAAATCTTCTGAACACAGGACTTTTGGGGTGTCTCCACTTTTCGTGCACAAAATGTGCGCCGCCCTGCACCTGACTTCTCGCTCAGCGGCACCCTCCATGATAAAGCCATGCTCCTGCAGCGCGGCATCTCGCGGCTTCAGCCGTGGGTCCTTGGCTTCAGCCGACAGGGCCGACGGCGGAAATCCCTGCCGTTGACCACCAAGGCGTGGACAAAGTTGGGCCCAACCAGGCAGTCACCGCAGAGCTCGGTTTGCACTCCAAACTTTAAAAACCTGAGGTTGAATTGATCCAATTCACAAGTTTGGGTGTCACAAAAACGGATCAAGGATTAGAATGATTAGATCCAGGGTACTGCAGCGTGACCAAAACGCGGTCGTCATTTTCCTTGATTGGGAGCAACTGAAGCTCCTTTCAGGAAGCTTGGAAGCTCAGTCTTTGGATGTACCTGGAATTATGATCGATGTTGAAAGAAAGCGACAAACGCTCCGATGAACTCTCATAAGTCATAAATCTGCGTACATATTAGCTGAAAACAGAACTGTTTCCTTAGGGAAAATCCTTTCTGAAAACACCCGCTGAAAACATGATGCTCCTGCAAGGTCTTGAAAATAATGCGTGCCAGCAGACCTGCCATGCTCTGGCTCCTGGACACAGCAAATTGCTGCTGTTGCAGCTGAAAGCTTGTCCAACAAGTCATTTTGTGTACAAGCACTCAGTTGAACCAGCAACACGCCTTTGGCAAGTCAAGCATGATTACCACACAGAACAAGATTCAGTCCTCTCGGCACCCCACATCAGCCGGCTTTTACCACTGCCGCGTGGGCCATGCAGCCAAATGCAAAGGCTGTGAGCCTCCAATGCGACAACGTCCGATGTCGTTCTCACCGGACTAAACAAACGAACACCGGACCGTCATGGATCGAACTCCGTTCGCGCCGAAGGAGACGGAGAGAGAGTATTCGCGCCCAAGCGAGGAATCACTGTACTCGGTTGGGGTCCCCAAAGATCCCAAAGGTCCAAGCTATGAGAACATTGACTATTAATGTGGTCAATAACGCTACTAGGAGCAGAGGGCATCGCTACTAGGAGCAAGGGCCTTACTACTAGGAACAAGAAGCTAGTAGAAACAATATATAAATTAGAATTTAATTAGAATTAAGTGTAATTAGAATCATATAAAATTAGAAGGTCCCAAAGGTCCAAGCTATGAGAACATTGACCTCCAATATATTGCGATCCATTCCCACATTTGGCTGCTGATTGGGCCACCGGCCACCCATTCCGGCTATCTTTGCGGAAGGGCGGAACGAAGCTCCCTGTCATTGAATCTTTCAAGCAACCGCACTCCGCTACACATGTTGCCCACATCATAAAGATTCCGCACTATGACACTCGACACCTCTGAGAGGGAGCTTGTTTTTGTTTCTGATTGCAAGTGCCAAGGGTTGCGAATATATTTCTGGATTTTTTTCGTTTTTTTTGTGATTTTTTTGTTTTTCGTGTTTCGTGGCAGGTGCAGTACTTTGTGGACCTTGCAAAGCACACTTCGTGGCAGGTGCAGGACTTTGTGGGCCTTGGAGTGCAGAGTTTGTGGCGCAGGCGCAGGACTTTTTGTGGGCCTTGAAGTGCAGATTTCGTGGCAGGTGTAGTACTTTGTGGCCCTTGGAGTGCAGATTTTGTGGCAGGCGCAGGACTTTGTGGACCTCGAAGTGCAGATTTCGTGGCAGATGCAGGACTTTGTGGGTGTGGAAGTGTAGAGTTGGTGGCAGGTGCAGGACTTTGTGGGCCTTGGAGTGCAGATTTCGTGGCAGACGCAAGACTTTGTGGACCTTGAAGTGCAGATTTCGTGGCAGGTGCAGTACTTTGTGGATGTTGAACTGCAGAAAGATAGAAAGATAGAAAGATAAATGGATAGATAGATAGATTAGATTAGATTAGACTAGACTAGATTAGATAGATAGATAGATAGAGGAGGCATATCACCTTAAAATATTGATTTCGTGGCAGGCGCGGGTGTCGGGGATGAAGTGCAGATTTCGTGGCGCGGGGGGGGTTGGGGGGGGCACAGCGTCCCCCCCAGCAGCACACCAGATCCAAAGGTGAGCAGCTCGTGCTTGCTTGCTTGCTTGCTTCCTTGTTTGGTTTCGTCTCTGCAACGAAAACAACAGGAAAAGCAAATACAAACAAGATGGAACCCACGAACCCGAATGCAAAAACGATCGAAAAACTAATATGTCCAAAGGACACTCTTGTAGGACACTCTTGCGGGACACTCTGTAGGACACTCTTGTGGGCCACTCTTGTAGGAAACTCTTGTGGGACACTCTTGTAGGACACTCTTGTGGGACACTCTTGTGGGACACTCTTGTAGGACACTCCTGTACGACACTCTTGTAGGACACTCTTGTGGGTCACTCTGCGGGACACTCTTGTGGGACACTCTTGTGGGACACTCTTGTGGGACACTTTTGTGGGACACTCTTGTAGGACACTCTTGTGGGACACTCTTGTGAGACACTCTTGTGGAACACTCTTGTGGGTCACTTGCAGGACACTCTTGTGGGACACTCTTGTAGGACACTCTTGTAGGACACTCTTGTGGGACACTCTTGTAGGACACTCTTGTAGGACACTCTTGTGGGACACTCTTGTGGGACACTCTTATAGGACACTCTTGTGGGACACTCTTGTGGGACACTCTTGTAGGACACTTCTGTACGACACTCTTGTAGGACACTCTTGTGGGACACTCTGCGGGACACTCTTGTGGGACACTCTTGTGGGACACTCTTCTAGGACACTCTTGTGGGACGGACACTCTTGTGACACTCTTGTAGGACACTCTTGTGGGACACTCTTGTGGCACACTCTTGTGGGACACCTTGTGAGACACTCTTGTGGGTCACTTGCACTCTTGTGGGACACTCTTGTGGCACACTCTTGTAGGACACTCTTGTAGGACACTCTTGTGGGTCACTCTTGTAGGAAAATCTTGTGGGACACTCTTATAGGACACTGTTGTGGGACACTCTTGTAGAACACTCTTGTGGGTCACTTGCAGGACACTCTTGTGGGACACTCTTACACGACACTCTTGTAGGACACTCTTGTGGGACACTCTTGTGGAAAATCTTGTGGGACACTCTTATAGACACTGTTGTGGGACACTCTTGTCGGACACTCTTGTAGAACACTCTTGTGGGTCACTTGTAGAACACTCTTGTGGGACACTCTTACACGACACTCTTGTAGGACACTCTTGTGGGACACTCTTGTGGGACACTCTTGTGGGACACTCTTAAGGGACATTCTTGTAGGACACTCTTGTAGGACACTCTTGTGGGTCACTCTTGTGGGACACTCTTGT